GGATGTTCCTCCTGGGTGAGGATGTTCCTGCTGGGTAGGGATGTTCCTCCTGGGTGGGAATGTTCCTCCTGGGTAGCTCGATGTGGAGCAGCCTCTCCAGGCTGATTCCTTCAGGCAACTTCAGGGTCTGGAGCAGAACTGCTCCAGGGGCTTTTCCAAACACCAAAGGGTGTAAACAGGGAATTGGAGTGGGTTTGTTGTTTATTCCTGTCTGGATAAACCTGGCATGGAGACACATCCATGGGCACCAGGGGCTCAGGGCTGGGTCACTCCTGCCCAACACCTTCAGGGCACGAGGGCACCACCCTGGCTCAGCTCAGGGACAGCCCCAGGGGTGGGATGTGGATCTGCTGGGGACAGGGGGCTCTGCAGAGGGACCAGGACAGCCTGGATCCATGGGCTGGGGCCACCGGGGTGAGGGACAACAAGGCCAAGAGCTGGGTCCTGCACTGGGGTCACAGCAGGCCCAGGGAATGTTCCAGGCTGGGGCAGAGGGCACAGCTGCCCAGGGAGGGCTGCAGTGCCCATCCCTGGGGGTGTCCCAGGAATTCCTGTGTGCCCTGGGCTGGGGACCAGGTGGGGATGGGGCACAGCTGGGACTGGGTGGTCCTGGAGGGCTTCTCCATCCCCAGGGGTTCTGGAATGACGTTGGTGTAGTATCTTCTCCTCCCACAAAAACAAACCAGTGGCCATCAGTGCTTTATCCAGGACCTTTATCCTGGGGCATCTTTAAAGAATTAACACAATTTCTGCATTTTTCTCTTCTTCTCCTGCCAGTTGTAAATGTGTTTCTGGAAAACTCTAAGTTAAGGAGCCTCACAGGAGGGAGCTGAGCAGTGCTGTGCAGTTTGATGGCAGGGTGATAATCTCAGCTCAGGGAATTATAGGCAATTTTATGGAGAAAAACCTATTTTATGGCAAAAGATTGAGCCCAGCCTTCCCCTTATTCAAAGAGAAGTTCAGATGATGATGGGATTGTAATTAATAGTTATCTTCAGAAGGAAGAGTCATTAGAGCATTACTGTTTAATTGAGAAAATTGGGCTAAATAGCAGGCAGGAGTTGGGAGGCAAAGGAAAATTCTGTTGTCCTTTTTATAACTCTGTGGGTAATCAACTTCTGGAATGTTTAATCCCACCTAACAGTAGGTATTATTCCCTTAAATGCATGTAAATCCAGGCTGGGATTTTTAATACAAAGGGAGGTCTAAATGATGGGAACATGGAATGGTTTGGGTGGGAAGGGACATTAAAGCTCATCCAGTGCCATCCTTTTAATATTCTATTTTTAACTTCTCCGAGTGTTTATGTCAATTTTATGAAAATTTCAATCCTAATTTTTAAAAAAAATTCTTTATTTTGTGTTTGTCCTGTGAGCCCCTGGTGAGTTCACCAGGGTGAAAGGGGCTGCTGCTCTCCTGCAGCAAAACAAGAAATGTTCTTTCCTGCCTTTCCACCCTCAGAATTCAAAGTCTGAATTCTGACTTTCCTGGTGTATTTTCAATGTTTGTGACCCAGAATGAGCTCAGTAAGAAATATCTCCACAGTTATGGTGGATGTGATCAATATACTTATTGGTAACATTATTGTTTATATAAATATTAATGAATTATTAATAGTACTATTGTATTAATATATTATATTATTAATATTATCACATACTATATATACACATACAATATATATTATTTACATATATAATATATTATTTACATACTATATATACATGCAATACGGTATCTACATACAGGGAATGGGGATGGGAACGGGGATGGGAACGGGATGGGAACAGGATGGGAATGGGAACGGGCATAGGAACGGGGATGGGCAGGGGGATGGGGATGGGGACGGGCATGGGAACGGGAATGGGCATGGGAGCGGCTGCCAGGGCATCCCCAAACACCCAAACCAGCTGGGAAAGGTCCTGGGGGTGCTGTGCCAGCCCCTGGACACCAGCCCAGGTGTGCCCAGGTGTGCCAATGTGGACACCAGCAGGAATTTCCCCATGGAAAGGGTGCTCAGGCCTTGGCAGGGGCTGCCCAGGGAGGTTTGGAGTGCCCATCCCTGGAAGGATTTAGGAGAATTCTTGGTTCCCTAAACCCTTACAATAACTAGAGGCAAATCTTTGCCAAGGGTTTGTATTATTCCATGCAGGAAGAGACAGAAGCAGGAATTTATTTGAGTATTGTTTGGTAGATGTGAGCAAAAGGCGAGTGTCCTTCACTGGTGGGTGTGGATGTGGAAAAGGCTGTGAGTTTGCTGAAGGAGGAATCTCAGAAAGCTGATTCTGTGGTTTTTGTAACATTTATAAAATCATGGAATCCTGGATTCACTTGGGTTGGAAAAGCTCTGTGAGACCATTGAGTCCAAGCACCCCCAGCTCTGCCCAGGCCACCACTGTCCCCTGTCCCCAAGTGCCACAGCCACAGAGCTTTGAAACCCTCCAGGGATGGGGAATCCACTCTGGGACAGGCAGGGGAGGGCAAGGAGCTGCTCTGGCTGAACATCCTGGAGGCGGAAGCTCAGCTCCAGAGGTGTTCCTGATTGTTAATTAGTGTTTAATGATGTGGTTGGAGTTGGGAGGGACCTCAGAGCCTGTAGGTGAGCTCCCTAATGACACAGTGGCACATCTAGCCTTTGTCCCCAAAATAAGGAAAGAACCCCAGAAGTTTCTCTCAAGGATTAAATGAAAAGCCACCTCACAGGACCTCGGGGATTTCACCAAAAACTAGAGAACATCTTATTAGATAGAAGCCAAAAAGTCCCACCTGAGCCATCAGGTAGAAAAGAAGAGAACAAAAGAGCCAAAGTGCTTTTGTGAGGTGTTTTTTACCAGGAGCAGACCTCTGCACCTGGCTCGAGTTTTTCTGTTTGATATTTTGCCTTTTGTTAAACCTTTTTTGTTTCTAACACTGCAGCAGAAGCCATCCTGCTTATTTTATGTCCCCAAAGCAATAGCTGAGCTCTCCTTGGGTGTGTTATATTTCTTTTGAGGGTTTATGAGACCTGGCCCAAGGAAAAGAAAGTTAATGAGAGCCCAGCCAGTGCCACCCCTGCCATGGCAGGGACACTGCCACTGTCCCAGGGTGTCCCAGTGTCCAGCCTGGCCTTGGGCACTGCCAGGGATCCAGGGGCAGCCCCAGCTGTGCCAGGGCCTGCCCACCCTGCCAGGGAACAATTCCCAATTCCCAATCTCCCATCCAGCCCTGCCCTCTGGCACTGGGAGCCATTCCCTGGCTCCTGTCCCTCCATCCTTGTCCCCAGCCCCCCAAATGAACAAATTCAGAGACAAATAAATGTCATTTATTTTTTTTCATTTTCAGCAGGGGAAGGATTAGTTGAGGAAGATGAGGGTTGTAAGTTTGGAGTAATCACATCTGTGTGCATAATTGAAATTCTCTGTGGAGCCAGCAAGTGACACGAAATCAAATTGTGATTTCCATTGGATTTCAGAGGAATTAAAGCAGAGGGGTGGAATGAGTTGAGCTTTAAAGGTCCCTCCCAACACAAACCCTTGCAGGATTTGCTGATTTTGGGGTGACCAAGTTCCCATTCCCTGGGATCCAGAGGCTCTCCAGGGCCTTCACACAATGCTGCTGCTCCCCAGGACGGAGCTGTGGGCTGATAAATAAAAATTCCAGGACCTGGAAGGAATGAGGAATGTCCAGGGCAGGCTGGACATCAGCAGGAATTGACTCCATGGTAGTAACTGCTGCTAATTATCAGTAATTGCCAGTGGTAATCTGAATTTTCATTTGGATGCCCCTTGGGAGCTGGTCCCAGCTGCACCCTGGAGTGCTGGACAGCAGCAGTAATTAATTGCACAGCAGTAATTAGCCAGGGCTGCCCTTTGCTGGGGTGTCAGTGAGGGGCAGCAGCAGGAGGAGCTGCCAGGTGATGGCTGAGCTGCCGTGTCCATGGAATTATGGAATTATCAGGGTTGGAAAAGACCATCCCCAGGGTTCCATGTCACTGCTGGGAGCTCGGTGAGCACAGCAGCATTTTCAGAATTAATTCCGTCAGTCAGCATGGGATTTAATCCCCATTTTTTGGTCATTCCTGCTCCAGGAATTTAGTCATTCCAGCACTGCCAAGGACCCGGGGGTCACTGATGCTGTGAGGCCATTTAGTGTGAGAATCAGAAAAACTTTACAGACACTGAAGAATTTAATCTGCAGCCTTAAAGGACACTTAGGTTAATGTAAAAATGTAAATGTAAAAATGTAAATGTAAAAGTGCAACCCACAGACATTTAGCAGAAAAGTCATAACCGTGTGTTTTTGGAGTTGTAAGCAGGAATATCCCTTAAATAAGAGAGAAACTGTGTTGGGTGAAACAGTGAAGGGTTTGTAATGAAAAGGTGAGGCTGTATGGAATAAAATGAGTTTAGAAATCATAATAAAACTGAGTTTAGAAATCATAATAAAAGCATGTGTGCCTGTGAGTTAGCAGGCATTAGATGAAAGTGTCCCTACTGCAGCAGAAGTAAAAGTGATAGGTTAAAAAAGCAAAATAAATCCTGTGGCATCTGTTAGTTTAGGAAGTTACATATTGCCTTGTAACTCCTGAACTGTAACCAAAAGCTTGCTCCTCTGAAAGCTCACCTGCCCCTGCCCTTCCTTCCAGGGCTCACCTGTGCTTGTTTTCCCCCCAGCAGCCCCCAGACTCACTGTGTTTTCCCCCAGAAATCCCCTGCCAAGAAGCTGAGCCACGCCATCAGCAAGTCCCTGGGCTGTGTGCCCAGCAGGGACCCGCCCCGGCCGCTGTTCCCCGAGCAGCCCGAGAGACCCCTGGACCTGGCCCACATCGTGTGAGTACCAGGGGCCTTGGCTGGGCAGTCCCAAGGCCCCCCTGAGCCCCCTCCCCAGCCCCAGGCTCAGGCAGGGAGCAGCCCTGGGCCTGCAGTGGAGTTCAGGTTCAGGTTTTTCTCTGCTGTGTTGTAAATGTTTCTTGGAGACCCCTCTGGGGCTGTGCTCGTGAGGGGTCCCAGGGCTTTGGGGGGCACTGGTGCAGCTGCAGCCAGGCCTGGCTGTGTCCTGCCTGCAGCCCTGCCACCTCCCTGTCCCCAGCAGTGGCACCTGTCACCTGTGTTGGGTCAGGCTCTGCTTTCTCGTTCACTGTACATGGAATTATCTGAGCAGCACCACGTCAGACACGTGGGTCAGCCCTGGGGCCCTCACATCCACGTCCCCCCTCCGTGGCATCATTGTCACCTGCTGTTGTCACCTCCCTGTGGAGCTGGTGGGATGGCACTGCACCGGTGTGGGTTTGAGCAGCCTCTCTGCTTCCCCCCTCGCTCAGATTTCACCTCAGAAGTAAAAACTGAGAGAAAAAGTCCCAAACAAGCTGAAGCCATTTTCCAGAGGCTGGGGGGAAGCTCTGCCCGTCCGTGGGAGAGGATGAGGAGGAGCAGCACTGGGATCTAATTCCAGAGAGGGCAGCACTCCCATTCCCACCAGGGTGGAGCTGTGTGCAGCCTGAGGGTGAGGGGAGCTGATCCCTGCTTTTACCTGAGCACAGGTTCCCCTGGCAGTGGCTGTGCCCCAGTCCCTAAGTGGAGAGCAAGGATGTCCCTGGCCCTGTGCCCACCCCAGACCCCCTGCTTCCACTGACTGCCTCTTCTGCTCCCTCCTTTAACAGTGTGGCATTCCTTAAGGACAGGCTGGAGGCTAAATTGCCAAAAAGCTGGACAGGTGAGAGCTGCAGAGCTTTTCCTGGTGGTGTGAGCAGTGTAGAGCTCCAGACCTGCACCAGTAGCTGCTGCCAGCCCAGCTTGGGGCTGATTCCTGCTTTGCTCTGTGCTGGTTCCCTGCAGCTCCTGCCTCCCTGAGGATCCCCCCCTCTCCCAGAGCTGCCTTGGTGCAGGGAGGGATTGGTGTGAGTCCATGGAATGTAAATCCTGCTCTGCTTTCCCTGGGGCAGTTGCACTCGGGTTGGAGAGAAGGCAGGGTCAGTGCTGCTGCTGCCCAGCTCAGGGCTGGAGTTCATCCCCTTCTCCAGGCAAATGGCTCAGCAGAGCCAGGGACAGGGCTGTCCATGGCCCACAGCACGGCCTGCTCCTTCCCAGCAGCTCATGGCCTTTTCTTTCCCTTCCCATCACTGCCTTTCCCTTCCCTTCCCATCTCCCAACCTGGAATTTCCTTCTCCTGCCAGCCCATCACTGCTTTCCTTCCCAACCCATCACTGCCTTTCCTTCCCAACCTGGCATTGCCTTTCCCTTCCCAGCCTGGAATTCCCTTCTCCTTCCCAACCCATCACTGCATTCCCTTCCCACCCATCCCTGCCTTTCCTTCCTGCTCCATCCCTCCTTTCCTTCCTGCTCCATCCCTGCCTTTCCTTCCTGCTCCATCCCTGCCTTTCCTTCCTGTTCCATCCCTGCCTTTCCTTCCAGACCCATCCCTGCCTTTCCTTCCTGCTCCATCACTATTCCCATCCCTATTCCCATTCCCAGTTCCTGTTCCCATCCCCATTCTCATCTCTATTCCCATCCCATTCCTGTCCCTGTTCCCATCCCTGTTCCCATTCCCTTCCCCATTCCCTTTCATCCCCATCCCCATTCCCATTTCCAGGGACAGTGGGGTCAGGGCTGGGCACCTCCTGCAGGGACAGGGACATGGGGACATGTCACACCTCCTGCAGGGACAGGGGGACAGTGGGGACAGGGCTGGACAGTTCCTGCAAGGACAGGGACATGGGGACATGTCACACCTCCTGCAGGGACAGGGCTGGACAGCTCCTGCAAGGACAGGGACGTGGGGACAGGGACAGCTGCCCAGACACTCCTGGCAGCAGCTCAGAGGCATCTGCTGTGTGCTGAGAGCTTTAATTAATATAAAACCAATGCCCTAAAAAGCCACAGCATGGGGACGTGGGGCCTGCTGGTCCAAGGACAGCTCTGGGACAGCAGGCACTGACCTGTGCAGAGAGCTTGGCAGCAGGGGATTCCTGTCCCAGGGACACCACAGGGACAAAAAGGACCCACTGGCCTTTGTGTGAGGGGCACGAGGCCTCTGGGCTTCTGTGCCACCCCTGAAACAACAAAAACAACAATAAACCCCAGTGCCGTGGCTTGAGGGGCTGCAGGCAGGGGAGGTTTTCTGTGGGAGGAATTGCTGCAGGCCCCAGGGAGTTTGGGGTGCCCAGGGGCTGACTGTGTTTGATTTGGGTGAGGGAATCAGCACCCACAAATAAACAGGGCCAGAGACTGCAGAAAAGCTGAGCTCTGCTGCAGCTGAGTAAATAAAGAATGGAAATATTAATAACTAGGGGAGTTTAACAATACTTGGCCAAAGGTTCCAGGGGAAACAAGGCTTGGAAGGGGAGAAGCCCCATCTGTGCTCTTTGAGGGAGGGAGGAAACACAAAACTGGGTAGAAGGAATGAAAACAATGAGTTAGGAGTGGTTGTGAGTGGTTTCCAGGTTTGGCACAGGGGCAGCGAGGGGCAGTGAGCTGTGCTGAGGGGCTGGGAAGGGAATGGAGCCCCAGGAGGGGCTGAGGGAGCTGGGAAGGGGCTCAGCCTGCAGAAAAGGAGGCTCAGGGGGGACCTTGTGGCTCTGCACAACTCCCTGACAGGAGGGGACAGCCAGGGGGGTCGGGCTCCTCTCCCAGGGAACAGGGACAGGACAAGGGGAAATGGCCTCAGGCTGGGCCAGGGCAGGCTCAGGTTGGACACCAGGAGGAATTTCCCCATGGAAAGGGTGCTCAGGCCTTGGCAGGGGCTGCCCAGGGAGGTCTGGAGTGCCCATCCCTGCAGGTGTCACCTGGATGTGGCACTGAGTTCTCTGTGCTGGGGACACGGTGAGGATCAGAATTCCCAAAATTCCCAGAATTCAAGAACCACTGGGTTGGAAGAGACCTCCAAACCCTTGAGTCCAACCCAGCCCCAGCACCCCAACTCAACCCTGGCACCCAGTGCCACATCCAGGCTTCTCCTAAACACATCCAGGGATGGTGGCTCCACCACCTCCCCGGGAATTCCCAAAACTCCCAAAATTCCCAGAATTCTCAGAATCACTGGGTTGGAAGAGACCTCCAAACCCTTGAGTCCAACCCATCCCCAGCACCCCAACCCAACCCTGGCCCCCAGTGCCACATCCAGGCTTTGTTAAACACCCCCAGGGATGGTGACTGCACCACCTCCCCGGGCAGAACATTCCAGAACTTTATCACCTTTCTGGAAAAACCTTTTTCCTGCTCTCCAGCCTGAATTTCCCTCGGTGCAGCTCGAGGCTGTGTGCTCTGGTTCTGTCAGTGCTGCCGGGCTCAGGTGGGACCTGCTGCTCTTGGGGGTCTTTTCCCTGCCCAGTTTTGGGGTTCGGGGTGACCCCGGGCACGCCGCAGCTCCCGGTCCGTGTTTGCAGTCCCTGGGGAAGCTGAGGAGATTTCCCAGTGCAGGGAGGGTCTGCTGTGTCCGGGGGTCCTGGCAGCAGGTCTGGGTGATGTCCCAGCCTGGGGACAGGGGCTGTGGCACAGCTGGGGCTGAGCTGAGCAATGCCAGCCTGAGCTGCCAGGAGGTGCCAGCAGAGCAGGGGGGGCACTGGGCTGGGGCACCCTCAGCCCCCAGGGGCCTTTCCTCTTGGATTCACCTTTTTTTTTTTTACTTAGAGGTGGGGTGACTAAAAAACATTTCAAAAACTTTTATTCTATTTTCAATCTGATATAAAAACCAAAACAATGTCACCATCAACGGGGCTGAGCTGAGCAATGCCAGCCTGAGCTGCCAGGAGGTGCCAGCAGAGCAGGGGGGGCACTGGGCTGGGGCACCCTCAGCCCCCAGGGGCCTTTCCTCTTGGATTCACCTTTTTTTTTTTACTTAGAGGTGGGGTGACTAAAAAACATTTCAAAAACTTTTATTCTATTTTCAATCTGATATAAAAACCAAAACAATTCACACTGTCACCATCAACAATTAACTGTTTCCTAATTACAGTACACTATAAACATTTTTTAACTTATCAACTTTTACCACTCTATGTTATAAATGTCTTAAAACTAATTATTAAAAATTACTCTTTATGAATCCTAATACAACATATCTTTTATAATTCTATTCCTCTATAATATCTAACTTTTTAATAAAACTTTTAAAACTTACTTTTAATTCCATTTTTCTCTCAACAATATTTATCCTATTTTATATTATACAATATTTTATAATATTATCCTATTTCTAATATTTCTATTTCTATTTTTCTAATATTTCTAAGTTAACATTTTTTATCTCAAAGTTTGCATACAAATACACGCTATATAGACTTTCTGTCAAGTCTTTAAAAATTTCTGCAGATTTATTTCCCACAATTTCTTCGGGGTTCATTTGCATTAATGACATAGGGGTGTTAATTAGGAGCCCTGGAAGATGGAGGAGACAATAAACAGAGCCCCAGCCAGCAGGAGACCTGGGCAGGGTTTTTGGGGAGGGATCTGTGCCAGGGGGTTTGGATCAAGAATGGCTCACAGCAGCTTTAGGGACTCGTGGTCTGCCTGAATGTGCAATTTTGGGGGGATTTTGTAACCCAGGATGGTGACAGGACCCAGTGAGGTGGTCCAGGGGCTGGGAGTGGCTTTGGGGATGTGGGCAGTGTCCAGCCAAGGACTCGGGGAATGCAGGATAGCCCCCAGGGCTGCAGCAGTGCTTGGGTGTCTCTAAAAACACCAACAAGAGAGAAATTCTGTTATTCTGGAACTGTTATTCTGTAATCCTGGAACGCTGGCACATGGGCCTGGCAGGGAGCAGGAGCTGAAGGGAGGCACCTTCAGAATAATGAATATGGGATGTGAAAAATCAGAGAATCCCGGGTTTGGGATGGAGGG